TCTCATACACTTTTTCTGGTGAGACAGGCAAAACAGGGAATGGGACCAGAGTGTCCTAATAAATACTCACATGCAAGTCAAATAGACTGCCCAAATCTAAGGCTATCTCATGACTTTGTTTTAGGTCTATACCTCAAATCCTGCAGTTAGATGACAGCCTGCCCCACGGAGCAGAGCTGTAAATAACAATCTCTGTCGCAGACAAACTGGCATCGTTGCGGGAGAAGCCCAGAAAACATGACCCACCCAATGGGCAATGGAGGGAACACGGCCCAAAGACAAGTGCAGGAAAATTGGGCTTAAATATTGCAGCTCAAGGGATGGGAGGGAAAAAGATCTACAGGAACAGGGTTGGCTTTCCGGTGATGGAGTGTGCTGCGACACCTTGGTCTGAACTCCGTCCAGGCTTCTGTGCATTGGGGAATCGAGGAACAACGCCCTCCCCGAAGCCCAGGTTACTGCTGGCAAGAAAAGCAGCACCAGCGACCAACTTCAGCGAAACAAGTCCAGCTCCTTGCACGAAGGGGCCTGCTGGTATGTGAAGCAGCGGCCCGGGGGGGGGGGGGGGGGGGGGGGGGCGGGCGTTGCTGCTGCTAATGTGGCAGAGTTTCCCTGCTGAGGGCAGGCAAAATGCCCATGACTCATTTTTCCAAGAGATGTTACAAACAATAGTAACGATGCCCCTGGTGGGTATGAATGTGAAAAGGCACGGCGGGGGGGCAGCCATGCTGGGCACCTTGTGTGTGGGCTGCCAACCGAGGGTACTGCCACGAACAAAACCTGCTGGAGCCAGTTTTTGGCATTGTGTGTGACGAGAGCCCTGCTGCAGGGACTTTGGGGGAAGAAGGGTGAAATGGCTGCCCAGCAAACTCCTCTCCCCACGGCCTCCGGTCTGCCAGCGATGGGTACCAACCCCAACTTGAGCCAAAGAGGGGACCAGTTTTATTGCCCGGAGAGGAAAAAGGGAAAAACTAATCCCAAATGGTTCCATCCCCATGCAGGACTGGAACAAGAACGGGCAGGGAATTTAGGAAAGCATTAGAGCACTTTAAAGCTCCTCTCCTCCAGCTCCTGCCTCTACCCTTGACACAAGTTTTCCACATTCAGATGCTGCCCTAAGGGGACAGCTTTAAGCCGTCTGAATCCTTGACCTTCCACTGGTGTCTGTTTGATACTATTATTTTTAGGCACACAATCCTGAAAACATACCAGCACTTGAAATAAGTTCCCAGATAATGTGCACTAAAGCACGAGGCGTTGAGGCTTCAGGAGAAGGGAGCTCTGCGGGATCAAGGGTGGTGGCAGAGCATGATGGAGGGAAAGGCGGTTTGCTCCTTGGGATAGGTAGCTGTGCAGGCTGTACATCTCCCCCCCCTTTATTTTACAGACACTCAGAACGTTACAGGCCTGAAAAGATGGTAAATGCCAAAAGTAGCCTGAGCTCAGCAAGCAGCCACGGGCTACTCAAGGTGTCTGCTCCCGTTTGCAGCGATCCTGCTGACACAGTCCCATGTCCTGCCCGAGGATGGAACCCACTGCATCCCACAAAGGCTGAGCAAAAGGGTGACGATGCCTTTTAAGAGCCAGGAAGGGCACCAACCTGCAGGCAGCTGCCTGGCTCAGAGGTTTAAGGTTCAAGCATATATGAAAATCGTCCTATAAATTGTTGCATCCTACCAAAGAACCACAGAGAAACTGTTCCCCTCTGGAAAGGCAGGACCACTCTGCCTCCCTCCTTGGGCGGCTCTTTCACAAGCAGAGTCTCATCCCGCAAAAGGACTGGGCTGGGCCAGGGCAAACAATTCCCAAATGCAAAGGGGAAGAAATGCAGCCTTTTTCCCAGAACCCCAAAGCCACAGGCAGAGAAAAGGGACAAATATTTACTCAAAGCACCTTCCAGTGCTGTTAAAGTTGACAACGCTTTTAAGAAAGAAAAGAACTCAAACTCTGCAGAGCCCCACCTGGATCCGAGGGGCTCTCATCTGCCTGCCACAACCAGCACGATGGTCTCAAACCGAGGTGCTACACGGCAGAGAGCTCTGTCATATGTAACCTGTGTCGCCATCGGCGCCGAAGTGGGTCTTTTTAAGAAAGAGCGAGCTCAATTTCCACAAAACAGATATTTGAGTACGGTGAGATGGTATCTAAAACTACCATCAGCTCAATTTTTGGTTGTGACAGATCTCTGAGTGTTGGTAGCCGTAGAGAAAACTTTCTCTGGCAAACCCCGCCACAGGCACTTTGTTTCCTACAGACATACGGACACTGCAGCAGGGTGACTGCACCACAATATGACATCGCCCTGCAATAATCCAGCACGCTGGGGGACTCCTAATAATACCACCTCAAGACACCTTCTTCAGAAGGAGCCTTTACGTGCCCCCTCCTCTGACACACCCTGCCCCCCCCCTGGAGGGAAAGCAATTTGCACGTTACAGAAAAGTTCAATTTGCAAAAGCAAACGCAACAGGCTTCAAGGCAGCAGAAAGCCAAGCGATGGGAGTTTTCTAAAGACAGAGCCCAATTGTAAGCGTTCACTCTACCTTGCTCCTCCTCACTGCCTCTTGCTCAGCCAAAACCAGAACCTTCTACTCCTCATCCCCTCCTGGAGCAGGACACCCCGGGGTGCAGGTGAGCCGAGGAAGGGGGGGGGCACTCAGCAGATCCAGGCACCCTGTCCAGCTGCCGCACCATTTGAGAGCAGCCCCGCACCAGACAGCCCAGTTTGCTTTCTTCCAGGTTGTTTGGGAGCCAATAAAGCTGCTTGAATGCTGGGGAACTCTATGTTCCTGCGGAGGGTTATGACACTTAGCTGGAGGGGCAGGGGGAGCTGGCCGAGGCCGCAGCACCCCCTTCTGTCTACCGCACTCTTTTGCAGCCAGTCTGAGCCCGGCTCGGGCACTGCATGCTGCAAGCGGCTTATGAGAAGTTACCTTCTTGCTGCCTGCAGCTTGGAAACGCTCAGGAAGCTGGAAGGATTTGGGGTTAAAAAAATCAGCAAGCGTTTAGATGAGTCAGTCCTGTGGTTTTTATGAGGACAGACAAGTGCTTCTTGGGAAGGCAGTTTCGGCAAAGCCAGAATTGTTTCTGTGCCCAGTCTATGTGCTGGTAATGCCTAGAAGCTCTGTTCTTGGACCACACGCTCCATTGCCAGGCGCTCCTCAAACAATGGGGCTGTGTTTCCTCCTGGACATCCACACGCGCCTGGACTCCCCTGCAGGCTTGCTGCAGTTTTCACGGCTTCCTGCTGGGGAGCTTCTCCTTTTCTTCTGCAACTCCCCCGCGCACGTAATTGCTGCCTATTTTGGTACCTTATCACGAGATGCTTCAGAGCTGATTAGCCTGGACTTCCTTCCTCCCATCACCAACCTACTCCAATATTGACGTTCATTCGCCCTGATTTGATAATATCAAAGACCAGAGAAGCTTTAGGAGGCATTACGGTGTCTCGAAGCGCACAATTTGAAGTCGGCCACAGCACTGCTGATAAGAACGAGCTATTTCTCCTAACGTCCAACTCTCTTCAAAAAGCAGCCGCTTGCCAGCCAAGTGCAAAGCGGAAGAACAGACCCTTGTAGGCTCCGAGCCAGTTTTGTTTCAGTGGCCCTGGATAAACTGGAGCCAGGCAACGTGATGCTGCGCATCCCATTAAATAACTCTTTTCTAAACACACGCTATTAGTAAAAAGTTACACACACTTGGAAAGACAAATGATTACTTCAAAACTACTTCAAAGAGAGCCTGCACTTTTATAGTCACAAGACCATCATCTGTCTGCAACAATGAAGAGAGGCAGGCAGATAAGTTTTACAGCACTGCATCATAAATACCCCTTACTGCATCACCTGAACTACCGACTGAGACAATTCTTTCCTGCCTTCCCTGAAAGCCTCACTTGGTACGCCAAGAATAAAATGGAAAGCAGATGCAGCTGACCTCTTAAAACACTATTTTATTCCATATGTGCCAGCTTCTGGTGATGCCATCTATTACTAAAGGACGCTGGTAGGTTGTTTCTGTTTATGTTGAAAGGACTTTGCAGCTTTTGAACGGGAATGCAAAACTACTGACTGTGTTAGCAGGGTGTACAGCTGGAGCTGTTTTAGCCACTGCAGTACATCATGCTGCCTCTCAGAAGTTTCTTACCATGAACGTCTGCTGTGATACTCCTGATGTAGGGCTTCCTGGAATGGGAGAAGCGTGCTGGATGATCTCTGCCAGAAGACTCATGTATTTCTATCCTTTGAAGGAAGAAATCTTCCATCTTGAATTTATTAATTTTCATGCTTAAAACGATATGCAAATTTAAGTTACGAAATACTGAAAGTCTATTAAAGGATTTCCAGTGCAGCCTGTGTATAAAGATTTGTTTCTCTCCATCCACGTAAACTTAGTCTCCGAGTTAAAATTACAGCCAAAATCTTTTTTTCTCTTTGTTTGCGTAAGAAAAGCAGCAGAGGGGGACCGACAGACCCAAGTGAGCTAGGGAATCTATTATTTGTTGATGTGATAAGCAACTTGGCTCTCTTGTGGAACCTTAAATAGATTCTCAAAAGGCTAATAAAAATAAACCAACATGATAAAAGCCAAACTGATATATCTGATATCCCAACTTCTTTAACAGTGCCATGGTTTAATCTAGAGATTACCCAAAGAAGCAAGAAATTAAGAGATTTAATCCAAACCAACTGCCCTCTCCGCTTCTCTGACCAGAAGATTCAAGATATTTTACAAGCATGCCTACCAGTAAAGCTTGAAAACACTGGATTACTCTACCACAGCCCCAAGTCCCTCGCTAGAACCATGCAAGCTCGAGGACTACATGTTGCTCCAGTATCCTGAGCGAGCCCACCATGTCCACCTAACACAGACATAACATTCCAGAACGCACAGATATTTATCAGAGACTGCACAGATCCACAGTGAAAACCACTCTGAATGCATTTCTTCCCCTTCTCTACTCAAAGATGGGCATGAGACTGAAAGCAAGCGGATCTCTGTTTACCGTTAACATGAAAAATGTTTATTTGCAAAATACATTGTTCATCATTTCAAACTACAAAAAATTACTTGCACAAAGGAACTCAGTTACCAACTCTGCATGCGACCCCAAGTTAGCACAACTTCCTGCCTAACTGCTCCTGTTCCCACTAACTTCATTCACTCCGAAGCACCGTGGCCATTATTCTAAGTGACGAACAACAAATCCTAATTAGAAACACTTTGTAGAAGAGTGATATTGTCGCCTTTTAACATGATCCGACCTGCAACACAGAGCAAGAAAAGGGGGGATTAGAGATCTCAGGTTCTGAGCATCACCTTGTGTTTTCAAAAAACATTTCACAACAGCAAAGGTGCTTGCAAGAAGTCACCCCCACAAATGACCAGGTTTTTATCAGTGACGCAGGGTCCCTTCCCATCTGGCTGCACCGCAGGACTGTAAGTGTGGTTGTGCAGGGCCCACATTCACAATTCACACATGGTGACAACATTCACACAAGATGACACAGCAAGAGCGAGAACCGCTCAGGGCCACCCACGCTAGATGTAGCTGAGAGGAGTTTGACTGGACCCCTGCACCCTGGCTGCAGAAAAAGCGCAGTGCAGTGCAGTCCATACGTTGTTACACATGCTCAAAAGACAAAAACTGGTCTCAGACAGTGGCAGATTCTCCTGCACGTTCAACAAAACCACCAGCTCAAGAAACAGCAGGAACCGAGACCTCGCCAGCATCCACTCACTGTACTTCAAACCCAACATTCTCTTCACAGGTTTTGCACTTTAAGGTGTTGCTCTGGGGAAGGCTCATGCAGCCACGTTACACAGACACACCGACATACCCAGCTGTTTCCTTGACTTTGTTTTGGAGTGAATCTCCTCTGCGTCGTCCAGCACCAAGTTCATATATTCATCAAAGCCCTAAAAATCAGCAACAAAAGCAGCCAGTGAGCCAAGTCCCCCAGTATAAACTTCAACAACAACAGTACAAACTATCATTAGCTATGCTGACGTGGGCTGGATAATTAAGGCTGTTCATTGGAGAGGCATGAAGTATTTCTATTTCCACTTGCCCCCTGCTAGTTTTTCTTGAAAGAAATAGTTTTATGAATTTGAAAAATAAACACAATCAAAAGACTTAACAAGGGGACGTCCCGATACTCACAATGATGCAGCCTTCTATCCGCATGTTCACTTGCTCATAAAGCCACACCTGGATCCTGGACCTCTGCAAAATGATGGAGGAGCAAAACAGGAACATAAACACTCCAAGCAATGTTGTTCTCTCCTGTGTATTCAGAAATCCTTCCTGCCCACCTTTTAGTAACATTCAAAGCATTAACTCTGACACGTGGTTTCAATTATGCCCTCGGTTATTTTTATGGTGTTATAATCTGGTGCAAATACTTTACGTGTTCATTGATGAACGTGTCACAGCACAGATTTTAAAACTGTGATGGAAAACAACCCTCACACCCTCCTGCAAGGTCAAATGCCTGTTACAAAGGTAATTCCTTAATGTGAGAAGGAAATGCTGAACTCAGAACTAGCTGTTCTTCTCACATATCTGAGTGACAGCAAGTTCTTCAGTTCAACAGAAACCAGCTTCAAACACTAAATTATGAACTCAGAAATACCAATCTGAGGATGTGGTGCCCTGGTCCCCACAGAAGTCTAAGAGCCCTGTGCAAGAATCATCAAATGGTTGGGGTTGGAAGGGACCTTGGAGACCACCCAGTCCCACCCCCTGCCCCGGGCAGGGCCCCCTTCCCCCAGCCCAGGGTGCTCCCAGCTCCGTCCAACCTGCCCTTGAACCCTTCCAGGGAGGGGGCACCCACAGCTTCTCTGGGCTCACCACCCGCACAGGGAAGAATTTCTGCCTTAGATCTCACCTAAATCTGCCCTCTTTCAGTTTAAAACAGTTACCCCATGTCCTATCCCCACCCCCCGGTATGGAGCCCCTCCCCATCTGTAGCCCCTTTAGGCACTGCGAGGCCTCTCCGGTCTCCCCGGAGCCTTCTCCTCTCCAGCCCGAACACCGCAGGGAAGGTTTTTCTGGCCGGGGAGAGGCTGCGGCAGGCTCGCCCCGCGGTACTCACATTCTGCAGGTAGCGGAAGATGAGGTTCTGGAGCGGAGCGTTAAGGACGGAGCGCGGCAACGTGTCTTCGGCGACGCGGCCCCCGAGGCCCTTCACGGGCCGGCACGGCAGCTCCTTCCCGCCTGCCCCTCCCCGTCCCCCGCCAGGCCTCGCACCCCGCGGCTCCGAAACCAGACACAGATACACACACACACACACGCCCTCCCCCGCCACAGGAAGGATACGATGGGCTGCACCATCACCTTCTGCACCTTCTGGCCCTGCCCGCGGTACGCCATGGTTGCAGCCGCCGCCGGAAGTCTCTGCGCACGGCGGGAGCGCGCGAAGAGCCATGGGATGCTGGCGGAACCGGCCGCTCTAGGAGGCTCGGAGGACCGCCGTCTCTACTGCTCCGGGGGGTGGAGGAAAAGCCAGCGCACCCCCCCCCCCCCCCCCCCCCCAGACCACGCACCGATCCCTTTCCTGTGCCAGGTTTATTTAAAAACACTGTTAACTGCTGCCACAGGGAGCAGTTCAACTACTGGTGAAGGCGGAGGAGGCCAGACTATGTTTAATACAATACCCTTAAATAGAATACAAATATAAAATGGAAGAATAAAATATTTACAGAAACCACGGCATACACCAAATCCCGTCTCCCTGGGCAGAGCCTCGGCTAGAGGCAGCGAAGGCTGACGGCAGAGCAGGAGGGCAGCAGCGAGGGGGAAGCCTTCCTCACCGGCTTCTCCCCCTCACCCAGGCACTCCCGTCTGCGGGCGAGCGACCACCGCTGGCAGAGTCCCACCCGGAGAAAGTCCTTCAGCAGGATAAAGGTGACCCTTCTGGAGCCAGAACAGCAGTTTTCTAAATTTTGGTTTCAAACCTTTCCTCTAGGAACTAAGACATCACAGTGGATTATCAGAGCACACAAGTGTTTTCTTCCAAAGAGTATTTACAACCAACTCAACTGATTTTGTCTCTGCCAGCAGCAAATGCCTGAGGGCCCCTACAGCTTCACAAATCATAGTAGGGAGAAACTAAAAAAAAATTAAGAAAAATAATTCAAAATATATCTGCTAGGGAAAACAATCACTGGTGGCAGGGTACACAATACACCCCAGTCTCAACTATTTTCCGCAGGATCACAAATTCAGACTGCACAGCCACCCGAGACAGGCCAGGAACCTCCAGTCCCACCCCCAGCGCGCACTTCCACACAGAGCTCGAGCCTCAGCGGGGGGCTGAGGGCGCAGGGGGGACCGAAGGGAGGGCACCCCCGGGGCAGTTGGTCCTGCAGCAGTACCAGGCTCCCCCGTGGGTTGGTGCCACACGGCCAGCGACAGGTCAGACAAAGCCAACAGCATCTGAACACGAGTCCCAGCAGCTTGGGGGAGCAATTCTTGGAACCGAGAGGCACTTAAACCAATTCTTAGTTTACCAATTTACTGCAGATGACGGGAGGAATCCTGACTACCCACCCCAGAATCTTACTCATGTCAGCAAAAAGCACCAAACCCGCCCAAGCTTTGGTACAGTACAACAACAAGGCGGGGGGTGGGTATTCTAGCTGTGTTGCAGAGCTGCTGCTTTTCACACTGATATTGTTATCATCCCTGATAATTCAAAGTAAGGCTGGATGGACTGACCCCAACCACCACCCTTGGCAGCACGTTTGGTCCAAAATACTAAGAGTAATTATTCTGCTCCCTCCCACCCTGACATTTGCATTAAGTTACCCTACAAGATTAAAGTCAAAATGATAGCATACATAAATTAAACTCAAGAGTTGACACAGTAACTCCAGGCTTTAGATATCAACTGTCCAAGAAACGAGAATACTAAAGCTTCGAAACACGCTGAACGTTGAGTTTTGCCAAGGGGCGGAAGAAGGAAGAAGCTCTATGTTTAAGCCTTCAGAGCATCACTGAATCAGTAGATCAGTTCACAACCACCACAGTTTGTAGATGGGCATCTCTATCCCAAAATAAACAAGTGCTTTGTCCTCTGAATGCCGAAGGTAACCACCGATAGATACAGAATGGATGCACAGGACCTTGACTCTGACCAGCAGGGAAATTTAGGACAACTGAGTGCAGATACTGCCAATTTCTACCAGTTCAGCTGTGCTTTAGGATTCATTGCAAATCCTCAGCTAGAAAAAGAATCACCTCTGGGTATCCAACAAAATATACAGTTTAAAATATCTTTTTTTTTTTTTTTTTTTTTTAAACTTTAAGACTATGCAGTTCAGCTGTCAATCATTTCAGAGAGTTCCAGGAGGAGGTCATCTTCATCCTTCCCTGGGTCCAGGTCAATTTCTGCTTCCAGTTTGCCTCCAGAGATTTCCCAAATAAGCTTCTCAAAGTCATCTTCGACAGATAAGGGTGCTTTCCCAGCCCCCGTGGAGCTCAGCCGGCGTGTCTTTACTGCTACTTGTGAAGAAGCTGAAGTTGAGCTTGAGACCTCTGACTGTGCCACAGAGTCTGCTGGGCTTCCAATATGCAGTTCAGGACTTGGAAGAACAAGAAAGAGAGCAAATCAGTGTATGACATTCTGTAACCAGAGAGAAGTTTTCTGCAAACCAGCTCTTAAAACTGTAGTTGATCCCTTCTACATCTCCAACCTTGCACAGGGATTGTTATTCAATTCACCTGGGCCTACTTTTATAGACCAATATATTAGCAGGTACATCTTTCAGACTGGGGATCTGTTTGTGCAGACAGAGCATCTGGGGTCTGGCAAAGAAAGTTCAATTTTTGTTGCCAGAGATACTTTGCCACCTTTACTAAACGACTGTAAAAAGGTTAAGTCAACCTCTGCAGGCATTCAGAAAACGCAGGAACGCACTGAAAAGCTGCATCAACTTGCAGCATTTTAAGAAAGAAACCGAAATAAGCATTCCTGCTAGCTGCTAGAAAATTATTTCAGATTAATTGTTCATTTGTTGCATTTTGGCATTATCTCAAAACTCTTAATTATTCCACGTGAGAAAACCTCATGTTTCATGCGAAAGACACACCGATTAAGAAGAAAGAAGTTGTAGTTACCTGGCTTTGGGTTTTTCTCTCCCAGGTATGGAGACCAGGCTGTCCTCTGGCAAAGCAGGAACAATGGCCTAGGAAGAAGGAAGATGGTTTTTATGATACACAGGTAAAAGACTTAGTAGACTCCTTCTCTGCTGCTTCTCCTCTGGCATTGCTGAGCCTCAACCAACATACAAAACCAGAGCATCCCTGAAGAAATTTAGCATCCCCCTCAAGTTCACTGATGACTTTGTGTCGTTTTTTAAGAACACAGCATTAATGGGCAAAATCCTTCACAACACAGAGAAATCAGCAGAGTATTATGTAAATGCTGCTATTCATCTAATAGAAAGCAGAAAGGTACTACAACCATCCTGTAGACAACCTCTGGATTTAAAAGGGGACAGAGACCTGTAGAACATTTCAGTTTTCCATCTTCTCTCCAAGAGGAGGGCAAAACTTGGGCATAAATTTTACTAGGGACCCACAACTGCCTCAGCCACTGTCCTTACCACAGCTGCTTTTTTAGCTGAAGGCTCCTTTGTATCACCACCAGTGGTACTCAGGGGTTTCACAGCCGCCACGGCAGAGGGATAACCCTCTGCTGCCTTTCGCTTCAGTGTCTGCTTTGTGGGGGAGGTGGCTTTCCCATCCAAAGGCTTCAGGCACACCTTAGATTTGTCTAGGTAAGAGGAAGAGAGAACAGATACAGTCTTGATCTGCCTCAGGAAAAAAAAAAAAACAAACTAGGTTCTCTTAACAGCCCCATAATCTTTCTAGTTAAGTATATTTGGTCAGCACAATTACACTTCCATTTCCCAGATTCTCAGCAATATTTTCCACATAGTAAACTCTGTTTACCAACAAGCCATAAAAAGGAGCAAAGAAGTTACAAAAAGGAGCCACAGTTACAAAATTATCATCTTCTGCCTTCCTTTCAAAACATGACTCAAAGTAACTCTTTAACATACTGTCAACACTTACTTTTAGCTTTCCTTTCCAGAAGCTGAGCTGCTTGTTTCCCTGGTGACACAGCAGCATCCTTTCCTGGGTTTTCAACCCCATCTTCTGGAGATTTCACCAATACCTTCTTTGCAAGTTGATAAGCTGACCCTGAAACCACGCTGGATTCAGGACTCCCCGATGCTGGAGTTTTATCCTTGATTGCTTTTTCAACAGGAGATGTCACAGCAGCTGCTTCCTTCTGAAGCTTCTCTTCTTGGCGTTGTTTCAGTTGCCGCTTCTCCCTCATTATCTCTTCAAGGCTTTTCACCTGAACTTTAGGATTAGTTGCACTCTGATCAGAGGGCTAGAAAGAAACAAAAGAGGACTAATAGGACAAAAATCTATGGAAATTTCATGAAGAAAATCTGAGTGGCAATCTCTCTGAAATGGCTCCATGTGGAACAGAGCACATTAGTACCATTCAGATCTGACACTTTTTCCATAAAATGTTGCCTGTAACAAGATCCACTCCCAACACAGCAAGCTTCTGTAATAAAGCAGAAGACTCTAGCTGTAATCTATTACATTCTTTTTAAACAACAGAAACTCTTGCAAGCTCCCCAATACAGCACTCACTGACAAACCGATTTCCTCTAGTACAAAGCTCTAGCCTTTTCTATTAAAATACTCACCCCAGGATTTTAAGATATCCTTCCAGTCTGACAGACAAAGTCACTGAGAACAAAAACATTCCCTCCACATCAACCTTGCAGATTTTATCTGGTGCTAATAGGGTTTTCTTATTCACTGTCAGGTATAATAAGATTAATTCAAAGCTTGAGGATTACAATGTTGGCTGGAAATGCTATTGAAAGTGACAGACTTAGGACTTCACTGAAGCGCTCACCAAATGCGGGAAGGCAGGAACACACTCAATCTGGGAGCATGAAGCAAGTTACAAACAAAACTTAACAAAATTTATCAAAAGTTGTATGAAAATATGCATGCTTTCACAGTGGACTCACCTCTGCAGGTGCAGAGATGGCTTTGGGAGAAGACTTGCTCAATTCCACTACCTTCTTTTCTTCTCTTCCAGGTGCTTTAAAACAAGCCAAAAAAAAATTAATTTTGTTAAGAACAGAAATAAAGAAACCTGGTTACCTGTTTCTTTGGTGCATGTATTTCCTCATTTCCTCATGTCTAATAATGGTAGAGAGGGATAGGCTACAGTAAGCGATCCATGCAGCATCTGAGCTCTTTCCCTCAATCACACTATCTCTTTTTACATGGCTTATATAATCTTAACGACAACATCTTCAGTGCTCTGTCATTTTCAACAACTGGCCCTCACATTAAGAAGCTGATACATGCTTCACAAACACATATACATCAATAACTAAGTTAAACAATGCATATACCAAAGAGAAAGGTAAACTTGGATTCAGCACAGGCAAGACCCCATACCCCAAACAGATGGCAGAAAAAACCAGAAGTGATAAATTAGACTATAAAGCTCCTCAACAAATTAATTTTCCAGTAGGAAATACAGAAAATGATCATGTAATTGATGGAAAATAATATATTTTGATGGAAAATAATATGGTTGCATATCCCAGCACTTTTTTGCGTTTTGCCTTCGTAGCCTTAAACTCTTTTATCCTCTAGTACACATAGAAGAAAAAAGCAAAGCGAATTCTGAACAAACTGAAGTTTTAGAGGAAGTACTTCACCAGGGCAGGTACCAAATCACCTTATTACCTGTTAGCTTCGTGATCCGTAACAATCTCCTCCCTGTCGGGGCAGGTTCAGGTTGTGCTGGTGGAGCTGAAACATTTTCTCCACTCTGCTGCATCCGCAGAGCTTTCTCCTGCTTGATTTCTTCCAAGGTTTTAATACGCACTTCTCCGGCTGGCTTGGCTTTACCTGCCGGCTCTGCCAGCTGCACTTTGCTGGGCACAGATGGAGCAACTATGCTCTGCTTCTTGGGCTCACTCTCAACTTTTGTCTTGGTAGGAAACTCTTCTGGTTTTTGCTTCTCTTCTTCCAATCGCTTGTGTCTTTTTTCAGCCAGGGCTCCTGAGAACGTTTTGATGCGAACTGCAGGGGAAGGTCTCGGCCCTGAGCTGGGATCTTCTGCTTTACAGTGTCCTTCAGTCTGGGGTTTAGCTTGAGGTTCTCCTCGTCTCTGATTAGCTCTCTCAAGACGAATTTCCTCCAGTGTCTTCACATGGATCTCTCCTGTTGGCTTAGCAGCCTTCTCTGTCATCACCAAAAAAAGAGAAGCACCAACATTTAAGGAGAGTCCAACAACATTTTAAATCTCCAAAATCTGTCACAGTACTAAGGAAAAACAGCTCTGAGTGTTCCCAAGAGCGCATCTTAGGACAGTATCATTCTGCATAATATTCTCCTCCTCCTTTAAGCCACTTGTATTTTGAAGACCAGTGCTATCCAGAGAGAGCTGCTACATAAAAAAACCCATGAGTCGATTTTATTTTGTTACTTTCTCAGGCTGTGTCTCTCCGTTAGCATCTGAAACTCCTGCTCCTGGCAGCAGTTCTATTCTACTTGTGCGTAAGCATACCGCAGCTTCTGACTGGTCGCAGCAGGAGCATGAAACCTTGATGAGGCACAAGTGGAAAACACACCCACCCACACCCAGAGCCAGATCTTTGACAGCAGCCATCAGGACAGCTTCAGCACTCGAGCAAGAAGAATCAGACTGGGTTTTTTTAAATTAACTTTTAGGGCTGTATGAAAGTTCATAGGAATAAAAAAGGGGAAGGCATATTTAATATCCAGTTATTACCTGTCTCTGTACTGGTCTGTTCAGAGGGCAATCCCAGCCTCTCCTTCAGAGACTTGGGGACTTGAACTACAAGACAGAACAGAAAAAGTTTGGGAGACTCCATAAATCTCCATTTTGTGTTTCCATTGTGAAATGAGACAGGAGATCACTCTACTGGGATTCAAAGTTACCTTGAGCCCTCAACCAGCATGCAAAAAGAACCATTAGAACGGACAAACAAAACCTACATAGAAAATCAGTGCACCTAATCCAGATGTCTGTTTAGCAGCTGTACCTCTCTTTGGTGCTTTGTCAGCATTCTCCAGAATCTCTATCTTCTTCCCCAGCCTTTCAGTAAGGTTGCGCTTTAGTGGAAGGACACTTTTACCAGCTTCAGAAAGAGAGAAAACAAGAAATACTGTAAGAGCACTTCTCTGGAGGAGGATTTTAGAACAGTCAGCCACAAACTTCAATTCTTCCAGGTATGTTTTCTTCTGTTTGCCTTTCAGTTGCTAACAAAATTTGCCATTTCTGCAGTCAACACAGATCTCCAAAATGTATTTGCCTCTTGCATAGAGCAAAAGACATCTAAATATAGTCATATTTAGATGAGGGCACCGAAACACCACCTCACAAAATGCTCTTACCTACGTAGGTTTTCCGTTTTCCCAGTCTCTCGGCAAGATTCAGTCGAATCACAGGCTCCTCCCCTACAGCAAATAATGTCTTTAGTGCACAGAAACCAGTAGTCAGTAAAAGCATTGTCCTTCTAGCCTATGTCCCCCCTCAAAGATACTCTTTTGGTACCTAAAACACAACCAACCATGAGTGGAAGTAGTTCTACATGGGTTTTTTGCCTTTAAAAGGAATTTGTGCAGATCTTAACACAAACATTTATGCACAGACTCATATCACACTACTGTCCACAACTGCCACTGTCAGCCTCTTCAATGAATCAAAAATTGGCTACTTGTATAATACCATCTTCTATAGGTGTCCCCCTTTTATTACTCCCCTGTTTTTCCATTATCCCCTTATTTGCATAATGACATTTGTTTTGACATTAGCCTCTCTGCTGCTACTGCACTTAACCCAAACACTAATTCTGTCACACATTACCAGCACATTAGCTTGTTCACAAATCTCACTTAACTTCAGGAACACAATAGTCAAATTAAGCAAGTTTGAGAGTCCGTAGGATGGTGATAATATATGATTAGCTATGGCTTAATGTCAGGCCGATAAAAAACACTTCTTGATCATTTATTGTAATACAACAAACTGAGCACCTACAAATGCCAAATCTTTTCAATACAACGAGGGCCTCTAAGCACTAAAGCATGGTTTTAATTAGACAAGGCAGCACCAGCAGACTAACACGTCTGAATTATCTTAATTACTACTTAACATTTTGGTTTAGGAGTCATGAAATTAAAACAACAATGTTCACTATTACCTTGCTTTGTAGACAGAGTCACAGTTCTGACTACTGTTCGTACATTTTCCTTCTCTGGCACAGGAACAGTCCGAGATTGGAGCGGATGAACAGAAACTCCTGAAGGACCTTCTGATCAGAGCAACAAAACATAAGGATGATAAAAATTCTAACCAAACAAAACAGAACTATCAATGAAGACCAAAAACATTAGCTACTCATTACTGCCAAACATACCATGACCAGCGCATGTAAATAAGAGAGATGAGCAATTTCGCTCTGATTTGCCCTTGGAATTCCAGTCTAGAATACCAGCTGCTTGAGTTTAAGAAAACAGGTTGCTTGCCAAAGTAGCTCAAGGCCGCCAGCTAAACATGTAAGTCTGTCCCTCAAGCAGCTCTCAGCTGCAATCATCTCCCAGACTGACCCCAATGGTGAAAAAAAATTTCCTTTCTTTTGCAAATAATTGTAGTCAACCATGCACAGACAGCTATTCAGGTAATATCAGAAGGGTGGGAAAAAAAAAAAAAAGATGAAGGTGAACAGAAAGGAGAAGGATAAGAAAGTAGGGGATATTAACTCACCACCTTGTTTTTTTGTTTTTTCCTTCAGTTTCTTCAATTTGATTTCTTCAAGTGTTTTTATTCCAAAATTTAAATTGTCATCTGAAAACACAAAACGGTTAATGAAGCTGAGGCTTAAAGGCACACGTTGTAGAGAACAGTTCCTCAAGCTTCTTACAGCTCAGTACCTTTCCAAAGTATTTTGAATAAACCCTGTCAACACTCCCCACAAGTTAAAAAAAAACCACCATAGAACAGATGGTATTTTGGTAAGCAACTGGCACCTTTCTTCAGTCCTACTCCCATACTACAGGGTAAAACCTATAGTTTTAAGCATTTTAATCCATCTACATGATATTATATTCCTCTACTATTAGACATGGCTTTCCACAACGTTTGAAAGGACACAGTTGCAGGCACTTAAACACCATCCTGTGGCTCGATTTAGTTCTACAAAAGTAAGCAGGGAGTTTACCTGTCTGACCCAAGGGACATATGACATTAGACAGGAATGAGCTTGTGGAAATAACTGACTACATCCAGCTACCCTATGTTCTATTGTATTTTTAGAACATATCACTTTTGAGTTAATTGTCAAATTCTCCTTCCAATCCATCCTACGACAGCTGTTAGAATACCTTGCTTTGTATTAGCATTGGATTTCCTAGTGGATATTATCCGCAATCCATTATGGGCTTCTGTTGCTGGTTGCTGGACAGGCGTTTTAGTTTCATCTCCTTCTTCAGAAAGCTGGTCTGAAAGGCAAAAATAAACCTATTCAGTTATGGAGTAGGGATTAGGGAAGATTTTTCATGTTTATGTAGCTCATACAATGGCATTTCAGTCCATGGTTCATATTCTGTTTGTATTCTGAATTACAAACACATGCAATTGTTTATAGAACGATTTTTTAAAAACAGCTACAACGATTTGACAAACTCATATGAGTAAAAGAGCTATACTGGGAAAAAATATTTAGGACTCGAGACTCTTGTCTGTAGCTTTAACCACTACACAATTCAGGTATTCAGTGATTTATACGTTCGCTTAGAGTAGAAATGCCTTCAATAAGTAAAAAATGCTCACCATCATCATCTTCATCATCATCTGCAGCATTGATTACAACTGGAGGATGTGTAGGACTTGGGACATTTTCAGAGTTTTCCACTTTCATCACCCCCCTCAGCTGTGGAGAAGGATTTGACTGGACAGAAAGTTTGTTTTGCTGCAGTGACATTTGAGCCATTTTCACATCATCCTCTGCAGACTCAGGTGGACTTGGAAGTGTAGCTAAAGGAAGAGGAGGATCATCTCTACATTAGCCATTTAAAACCCATCTGGCTGCTTAATTTAGTTTCATATTTCCCATCCCTAGTTACGCTATGAACAATGGCTTCCCTTCACACACAAATCTCACAGCCCTACCACCCGGAAAGGATTAAATTAGGGGACAGCAACCTGAAAGGCAAAGCACAGAGAAGCTGAGCATGAAATAAAAGATTAAATACCAGAATTACATTCCATTTAGTTGAGAGCCTATGACTGCAGATTTCTCCCTGCACTCATAAATGAACAGTTACTTGTTGTCTTCTACGATATTGTACCTACTCATAAGTAACATTCAAAATTGATTATTTATATACTTTAAGAAAAAGGACCTAAGAAACTCACTTTTGCTTGGTGGTAAGAACAGTCCATCAACATAACGTCCTTTCGTGTGATGAAAAGCACAATTGGATTTTTGACAGCCTACTGGCTGATTCTCCCAGTAGCAAGGGATCTCACTGCGTTTTTTCTGAAGACAGAAAGAAATAAAACACTCACCTTAGACTTGCAAAGGGACATAGTTTTGTATCGTGCCAGAGACAGGACTATGGCAATGCAGTGCAGTGCTGAAGCATCATTCCAAAGGTCAATTTATCACTAAAAGTATTTCAGGGCATATACACCAAGTTTGCATATGCTGCAACAACTACATAATATCTAGCTTTCCTACCATTCATCTTGAGAAGACATGCACTCTCATACATCAATTCAGGGTGGGTTAAACAAACACAATGTGCAAAATGCAGGGATTATTCAGAGGGAAAAATGTCTTAAAATGCCTAGGTTAAATCTATCTGAATTTATCTTTCAGAGCCTTAGATTATTCCAATCTCTTCTCTCCCCACCCTGCACTACCCCAAGAGGTCAGAAAAACATTATCTAAAGAAATACAGGACAGAAGAGACCTAAAAGGCCATTACCAAGCTTAGCCCAGGCTGTTTACTACTGCCCTGCTCCAGCACATTTAAGCAGTCTAATCAATGTGGTTGCTTTTGCCTGTTAAGAAAATGTCTGGACCTAATACAAAAATTTCTTGCTGAGATGTACTTAAGAAATTGATTTTTCTTCCCCCAACTTCCTCCCACCCCGCTCCTAGCAGTAGAAACTGGTATAATTTTAAAGCAAGTAAATCTATCATGTAAAAGCACATTCAGCCAACCTACAGCAATGAAAAATGCTTTCAGTGATGTAGTTTGAGAACACATCTTTAGGCAAACACTCACATCGATTTCCATGTGTCTGAATCTGCAGATATTCCTGAAACAGCGACCCTCCTGCCAGAGCGTGCAGACTGTTTCATTTCCCAGAGCAGCTTCGCAGTGGCGGAAGGAACAGCTGTCTCCCTGCAACCAAAAGGCAATCAACAAAAAGGAAAATAAAACAGTACAGCCTACAAAATGTCCACATTATTAGATCTGGAAGCAGAATCTCACTGCTTATTAAGTTAAAAGGAATCTGTATGTCTCTTCCCACTCCTTCCCCTCCTCTCTTAGAATCTAAAAAGGAAGAAAACAAACCCCAAAGCAAAAGAAACCCAAACATACCTTGTTACATGTGGAATAGAAATAGAAGTAGCAGTCATCTCCTTGGTTAGACATAATGGACAAATTCTTAGAATAAGCTCAAGTTCTAACGGCTCGCTCAACAGAGACTTCCTCCAGTCTTGGCAAGAGCTGGCTTCACTCTTTCTTGGATTGAAAGTCTTCTACTGGCTTGATCAGTGAAATCTTCTTTTTAAAAGTAACCCTAAAGAAAGGTATCAATAAATTAAAAAGAATTAAGAAATAAGCATTTCTGCAGCTGCTTGCTGTTAATCAAATTAGTCCCAAGGAGGGCAATGCCTTGAAATCAGTTGGTCATAAAAACTATCCCAATACTAAGTCAAACTTCTGTAAAACTGTATGGCTTTTGTCAGCAAGCATTCTCTTCTGTGTCTTTAATAATAGTTATAGGCCTTGAAGTGCAGAAAAAACTACCACGTGTGGCTGTAAGCCCAACAAGAGAGCCACTTCTTAAAAAATTGGTCATACGTTTAAGTTATCAGTCAGTTATTAACTGTGGGTACTAATAATTTCTATAAAATACAATTGACATTTTAAACATTACTTTCCAATCACCATGGATCTTCAAGTTCACATACCTGGACAACTTCAGCAAAGATACTGATCTTCAAAGACTTCCAGTTAACTTCTCCTGTAGGCCGAACCAACACTGAATCCGTGAATTAATAATAAAGGGGTAGAAAGAATTTTCCTCCTCACATTGCCAAGGGAACCTCTCATCCACAATTCAAACATAGGATGTGCTTTTAAACATCTTACAACTAATGGAGGAAGCAAGTCCATTTGAATACTGTCAGACTGGAGACAGCCAGGGTTAGTTTAGCTCTTCAAAAAAAAAAGAAAAAAAAAAAGAAAAAAAAAAAAAAGAACCAACAAAAAAACCCAGTGCATTTAAAGATGAACTTGTGATTCAAAGTGGCTGCAAAAATGAGGATCCATCTTCCACAGCCGGACAATTTTAATTTTTTTTTTTTTTTTTTTTTTTTTAATTTAAAATTCAGTAACTTGCAATTTCTGGTCTTCAAGATTTCTTCACCTATTAAGAAAACACAAAAACCTTCCCCCATCTTTATTACCTGTACAGCAAAAACATACTTGTGTGTATAAATACACAAATATGTATATACATACACATATGTGTTTACACACACACCAAGAGTGAGTGATAATAAAGTCAGCAAGAGTGATAGTAAAAATTAGAATTTTTGGCTATTTGCCACATAAGACTGCACAAAAAGTCTATCGTTTTGACGGAACTGGCTAAAATGAAAAGATCTACATAATATTTTAATGAATATGCTTTCAAAGCTGATGCTTTATAACATGAGTGGTTTTGGGGCCAGCACACAAATATGCATACATATGTACATGCATACAGTATAAACATATCTATACACACAGGCGTGCACAGTATATGTTGTATGATATCCGTACTGAGAACAACTTTTAGCCCTGATCAGACACGTAGAGTTGCAATCAGTTAACAGCAGGAAGACAGCAGATCAAGGGTACAGCAAGCTTTGAGAGGCAGGGAAATGCTCACTTTGCAAGTGGCATGGCTGCATGATACCAAGAATTTTGAATTACTTTGATTTTAGGAAAAATTTGTTTTCTTTTTACATCAGAGCAAATACAAGTTTGCCATCATATGCTGTTCCCTAATCCATATCATTATCCATTGCTGCAAGATCACAGAAGGTTTGAAAAGATGGCTTAGGTCCAATTCAACAGCTGATGATATTTTTTGGTGCCACCAGAGATGAAACATTTTATTTAGCCACAAGCAGGTTTGTTTTTTTTTTTTTATGTGAAGTCAGATACTTTGATTTTTTTTTTTAAGATATTAAATGCCATAAAACCTGCAACCAGACCAGATAAAGTTCAAATTAAAGTGATTCTGACCCCTTTCAATAAGATGCTGCACATTTCTGTGCAAAGTATTTCTCTTTCAGACAAAACTGAATGAAATAGTTCTTACAAATTAATAATAAAAGGTTGGAACCTTTTACTCACACAAACACTAGTGAATTTTCCAGGATATTTTTTTTTTTGGCAGGGAATTTTCCCAAATCTAAAATAAAGAGAGGAAAAGTTCGGTTCTCATATTAGTTATTGCTTTTTGACTGCTTGACAGAGGGAATAAAAACAGTAGTTAAGTGCAAGGTTTTCTTCCCTTCTCCAGTATCGATGGGACTATTCACTTTTGACTTTTAGCACCTTCAAAAACAGACTTTATGTCATACAAACTCCTATGCATCTACTTCTAAAAATTACCAGTGCTCCTTCATGTAGAAGTTTGACAGGAAACATTTTTCCAAATGCATTACCAATACCACTGAAAACTAAATTAAATTTCAAGCACAATTTCTTCAGTTTGCACAGGCCAACACTTAAATAGATGGCAATCAAGGACCACTGCTTTGCTGAGCAGAGGCATTCAAATACAAATCAGCAGGAATTCACCATCTAGAAGGTGGCATTTCTTTTTCCTAGGAAGTGAGAGACACCTGTATAATGGAACATTACTATATCCACCACCATGGGGAGAAAAAAAAAAAAAAATCCCCTCAGATTTAGCTCTTTTGAATGCCCAAGCAGCTCAGCATTTTTTCGCTTGTTGCCTTCCATATTCCTAAGCAGACTTCAAGAGCTGTTCAGAATTTGAATGGATCTTGTTTAAGGAACGGGAAAAAGCAAAACTTTAAAACAAGCAAACAAAAACCCCAACAATACGTCCTCCCTGAAAAAAGTTCTGAACTCCATAAAAGTCCTCTCATTTTACAAAAGTTTAACTCAAAACCTCCCCCCCCCCCCTTTTTTTTTTAAACTGGTGTCAAATAACAGGGCAGTCTGAGTGCTAAACAGAACTCAACTGAACTAACCCCTGAAAGTCTGAATAAAAATGAGTAACTCTGGTGCACTCAGCAAGTCTCTAATGGAAGTTGATGAGAATTTAAAACCATTCTTTTTTTTTTTTTTTTCTTCCAAAACTCTAGTAAAGTTTTTGTATTAAGAGATTTTGAATTTTTTTTTTTTTTAAATATTAAATATTCGTGGTGCAGCAGTTAAGGGTCAGAAAAAACATGCCAACAAGCACTGTAAACTTTATCTTTGCTAAGGGAAGATAAGTAGTACAATGAAAGTCCGTCTAGTTTGTTTTACAAGCTTGTCTTTCTTGGTACCGAAGAAACAGTCCTATTCCCTGGTCTAGCCTTCCAGCTTGCTGCCCTGACTTTGTCCTGTACTGAAGAGCAAGAAAGGAACAAAATTTTTTTGCACCCCAACAAATGCATATAAGAATTATTATTGCACCTATCTATGGGTACTTTTTTGGTTATAAAGCACAAAGTATTTCACTTGGACAGTCTCTCTTGCTGGTCCACTTTGTGCCTTTAATTTATTACAAAAATATTAGAGATACTTAACACCCCTGTGTATTAGGACAGTCAGATGAGAAGGAAGGGCACCTGTAACTACATGTTCTAAGCCCCCTTTTCAATTGGTCTGTGTTACCCCAGCTGCAAAACAGCTGCCGCTGATTTACTTGCCTGTTAGCACACTCCATAGGCTGAAAGTGCAGTGCCTGTTAGGTGTCATAAATTACATATAGAACACTGTATTACTGTGTGTCTGTAAACCACACATCATCATGTCATCTGAAGCACAGAATAACCTCTTGCTAATGTATCTCATTCTCTGTATGAAAATCTAAAGCTAAGTTGTCCAAAGCTGAAGCATAATAATAATAATTTCTACTCTTTACATTTGTTTTAGTTAATTCTAGTTGTTAAATACTGTCTAAACATGGACCGGGGGCATATTCTGACACTGGGGGTGACAGCACTCAAGACCCACTCAGAGCAATGACTGAAAGGCTGCCAGCCAAGAAGGCAAAGGTTAAAGCAGACAATCACCTCAGCTTCTTCTGACATTGAGTCGGGGTCACCTTTCATCGTGATCTGAGCATCTGAGCAGTGAGTTACCACGAGTTGTGAGGCACAGCTGCCCCTTGCTGGCGGGAGCAAACCTATTTGAAGATATGCCACTTCAGGGACCTGAATTAGGACATTCTTCCTTAAGATGAGAGGGATCATTCCTGACAGGGATGATTGGCCTGGTGTTTCTGTAACTCTCAAAGAATAACCCTGTACTGAAGCACTCGTTAGATCAGACACTGCTTGAGTACAGATCTGGCTTTAGCTTGACACCTCAAGAGGCAGAAGGAATTCTTCAAAGCAACCTTTTATAGCAGGGATCTGGTAAAGGAGCCAAAACAAAGCATTCAGATCTGAGGACACCACTCCACAGAAAAACCATTTCAAGCCTAAGATATTTCACCCATCTCCCAGTCCAAGAGCGACAGTGACACGTTTGATCTGGAAGTGCTCTGCAAAGCCAGAAGGACATGATGGATGGCAGCACTTGACTGAGAACTGCAGTTCCTCACTGGCCTCTACCTGCAAGCAAGGAATCTTGCACCTATCAGACATCTGAGACCACTGGAATGAGCTGAGAATAGCCCCGTTTTCCCTCCCAGGAGGATGCTGCTCCACCTTCTGCTGTTTTAAAGTCACTTTAACATATGAAAGTTAGGGAGGTTCCTTGAGTAACTACTTCGGGCTTCAAGTGATCCTCTGGAAGATGGCTTGAATGTTGAAGTTCCTGAAGAATTTGCTGGGCCTTGGCAGAAGGAGCAAGGAAATCTCTTAAGTACCTGCTAACCTGTTCTCAGTGCTCCTGTGCTCAAAATCCCGATTCATTAATTTTAAAATATAGGTAAACCATGGCAGCTGGCACCTAGCATTGTGTGCACAGTGCCAGCAGGACTGCAGGGATTAAGGGAAAGCCACAGATCAGTTTGGTAACTTGGTTCTTGTAGGTCACTTCCTACTGCAGAAGTTTTGGCAAAGCCAGTGGGAGGGAGCTGCCTGTTTTCTAAAAGGGGACTTCTGCTGGTGCAGTGTATGAAAAGATATCCAGTGGGTCATCACTGTCAAGTAGTCTGTGGTTAGTTCAGGGTTCACATATCAACAGTTAAATTCATATTTGTGTGTTGTGCTTTCTTCAAAGCCACAGAAAACGTTTCTTCTACAATGCTGTACAGTCACGTTATAGATGGAAACTGTCTAGTGCCACAATCTGTATGAACATCTAAGAAGTTCACCTTGGAATAAAGTGTCTTCAGTAATCAATTTTACAATAAATCTGTTTATCTGTTATTTAAGTGCATTCTCATATCTGAGTTTTTTCACAGCAGTATGTAGTCGAGAGTCCGAGTCCCATGGTTAAGATTCATGTCCTTTCTCCTACCAAGCACCTGCTCCAAAGGCATAGATGGCACAGGAACACCCAAGCCTGAGGATGTCGAATTGCAACTGGCTCTAAGCCTATCCATTGAAAAGAAATAGCTCACCACATCACCTTCAGGGGGCAAAAATTCACACGGAGCAGTAGAAAAATCCAGCTGTGCTTCCCAAGCTTCTGGTTACAGACAGCACTGTCGCATTCAGGCCCTGGCCCAGTGTGCAGGGTGTGCGGTCTGGAAGCGTTGCTGCAACATGGAAGTGCCAAGGCGAGTCCCTGCCCTGTCTGACACACTTTTTAAACACTGCAAGGAGTGTGCCAGGCATACTGAGAGTCAGCTGACAAGTTCCAGACAACAGAAGTGTTTGCCCTAATTTCTAGCATCAAAAGGCTTTTGACAGTATTGCTTTCATCAAGAGAACTCCCTCTATCTTCTCCAGATGCTGCAGAATCCACTATTGCTGCAGCTGCAACAGCTGCATTGATACGACCCACATCTATGGCAAATCTCTTTGATCGCTCTCATTTACCTGGGCACATTTGCTGTCCACTCCTTCTCTTCCAGCTGAAAAACCAGCCTGCTGGCTCTGCCACACTGTCACTGCCAACACAAAAGCTGCGAACAGACATCAAACTCCCACTGCTAAAACTGCTGGCAGGGGAGATGACTGACACAGACACGTTACAGGCACATTCACCCTCGCTTATAGCTGTGACCCCTGGCTGTTAGCCTCAGCCCAAGGTACACAACATTCTGTTTGGAGATGTCACCAAAGAGACAGTGTTGCCAGGTGATTACCTGGTTTGCCAAGTCTTGTTTTTTTTTTTTTTTTTTTCCTCCAGTCTGGATACGGCATACCAGGTGAACCACAGATCCAAAGTTCCATGCAATAAAAGTCTTTGCTCTTCTTCCACGCAACAGTGCATGCTTTAATACATCGCATTCAGTAAGGAAGCTCTCTCCATCTTGCTCAGTGGCAACAGGCATGACTGCAGCACACGCAGGTGCTGCAGTACCTGCAGGCCCCAAATCCTTCATAAATTTTTAGATAGCACCAATTTTTAATGTAGTGGCTTTCCCTTAATGCATAAGCCCTTCGTTCTTATATTTTTAGTGGGTGGTTCTCCTCTTATCGTTCTCTCTGTCCACCAGTTTTTCCTCCTTGGTGTCTGAATGGGCACAGAGGATCAATTCCAAACTAAGGGGACTGCTAAAGCTGCCACATCTACTCTTGGGTGAGACAGGTATACTTAAATAAAAGATACTAATTCTTTTTCTTTTTCTGAAATCAACATAGGGGCCTGGCAGCAATTTACTATGACATTTCATCTTCCTCACTGAAATGCTCTATTAAATCTCAAAAAGAGTCAACTTCCCCTGGAAGCAGCCATTTGGAAGGGTGCCATTTCAGATGGGAAACAACAGCAAGAGGAAGTTTTCTCTAGACTAGCTTTCCTCATGAAACACCCAGCAACAAATTCAGTTTTTCTGTTCAGCCCTATCAGTTTAATGTGTGTCCAATTCAACCACATGCCACAGTGGTGGTTCTGATTTCAAAATCTCCTACTGGCAGCAGATCTCCTTTTTTACAATCCAATAACACTGTTTTATTTGAAAGTATGTCCCAGAGCTCAATCTCTGCATGCAGTGTGTACCCCAAAGCACCAGTTCTGGGAACAATCTGTAGGCTCCACATACTGATCCCTGCAACAGTAAAAATCACTTTGGCATTTTCATTATAAACATCCACATAAGAAAACAAAAACCTCTTGGATCTAATTCTTAAGAAACAAAAACAAATGCCACCCAATTGGGTTGTTTTAAACAACCTAAAGCAGAAATTAAGATGACAACCGGGTGCATCCAGAGTTAGTCAGATCCTGAAGGCAGCTCCTTTGGGGAGCGGAGGAGCGATTTGTCAGATGACTACATTACAGCACGCCCCTTATACGCATTGCTACAAAAGGCAGGCACAAGGTTTTAACTGAAAATAACGTATACTCATAAGGCACCTGCACTAGGATCTGCAATTTGCCCGACCTCTCCAGAGCCTGCCCAAGGACTCTGTCTCCCCGGGAGACCCCCGGGAGCGGGGAGAACCCGCAGCCAAGCCCTGTGGAAGGGCAAGGGTGGGGAAGGGGAGAGCTGCGCCCTGGGCCGCGGCCCGGTAACCAGGGGCAGAGGGGACTTTGGGCCTACTTCGGGAGGCTGGGAAGCGGCTCCCCCCTCTCTAATGTCCGACCCAGGGAACACACCTTACCCCCAGCACCGTCCCCGGAGGGCCCGCGCTGCCCCAGCGGCCTCCCCCCGATCTCCCGCCCCCGTAGCCACGGACACCGCGGTGGAGAAGGGCTGAAGGACGCGGCCTGGGCCGCCCGCGCCGCCGGACGCGGTGGGACGCGGCCTGCTTCCCCTGAGGGGAGCGGAGGGGACCCGAGCCTGGCAAGAGGCCATTCCCCAGCCCCTGCGGTCTACGAACGGCTCTAGTCACCGACGAGCAGGGACTTTACCGAACCCCAGGGGACTGCCGCTGCCGCCGCCGTGTCGCCTCGATCCGCCGCTCGGGCCGCCGCTTTCCCTGATGCCAGCCTCAAAGATGGCGCCTAACATACGGGCAACGTCAGCTCGCCCGCGGCCAAGATGGCGGGCGGAACGGCTTCACCAGGGCCCACTTCCGCCCCGTGGAAGGGGCGGGAGCGGGTGGGTTGTCTGCCCTTTTCCTCCTCCGAGGGCCCCTGCTAGCGCCTGTCGCCGCAGACAAAGCCCTTCCCTGTGGGGCGGAGAGCGCTCCCCTTCCCGCCCACCTCCGTCCCGGCTGCGGTGCCGCATCCCTCGCCCTGCTGTCGGGGTGTCTGCCCCCCCTGCCCGCCATGGTGCCAGGCCTCGGCCCGTGAGGTGGCCGTCCTCTCCCTCACGTTGCCGGGCGGAGCCTCAGGGTTACGCTTTCCAAGTTGGAAGCTGATTTCCATTTTAAACCCAATTTCCTGGGCCGGCAGGCGCCTGCCCTGGGGCTTCGGGACACCTCAAGCCGTGCTGCTGGGGTATTCAGGCTAGGAGCGATTTCTTGATTAACGTGGGCCTGCCAAGACTTCACGGCGGATTGTAGACCTAAACCTTCCTCCCTCTGCTTTTCTCCTCTCCATCCCAGAGTGCCAGTGTCCCGCTTTGCTTGATTTGGCCCTGCAGCTGTGGTAACGAGCCACCTCGGCAGCAGGAACAGCGTCTGACCTCAGGGAGTGGGCACTTGGGCAGCCCCACTACGGCACAGGCACAGCCATTTTCCCTATGAAATGACTAAAAGTCCTGTGATTTCTTTCTTTGCGTCCAGCCTGGACTATCTTTTTAGAAAGATGCAACTGTGGCTGTTTTGCTTAATTAAGAGCTGGAGGACACTCTCAGCACAGACACCTCCCTGAGAAAGCAGGAAGGAGGGTGACACTGCACAGTGAAGCTTTTACACCCTGTTCGTATCACCTGGCATCAGCTCCGAGGGTCAGACACACAGCTGAGAACTTCTAGTTTGAACATTACCACTGACAGCCCTGCCCAGCTCGATCTTCTCGTCATGACTTGGCCCTGGAGTTACTAAAGACACAGAGGAGCAACAGCCTCTCCACTGAAGCCAGGGAGTTAAACAGATCCAGTGCAATCAACCCACTTGGAAACGAAGGTGTTACAGGGGCTGGTTGCTTTTATCTCCCGTTGTCCTCCTTGTCTGGGCAAAGTGCCTCTATGGAGGCAAAATAGTCTCAGTGCAGAGGCAGGACATGGCTCAAAGCCAGTCCCCAGGAGATGGAGATCACAACCTTCACCATCCATCACCTTATAAGCGCTGCAGATACAACATTGGGGAAGGGGACAAGGGAGGATCTTTGCTCACGGGCATCTCAATACATAGCCCAGGAGCACCGGTTTGGGTGGCATTTGACAGCTATTTCTGGATTTGGAGATGGAAGAAGCAGTGCTTGGGGCAAAGTGCTGGGTGCGAGCAGCCAGCCCCTACCCCTCAACAGCGAAGCTTACACAGAGAGGAGACCCATGCTAAGGGGTGCATTTGTAGCAGTGGGGTTGCTTTTGATCCCCATCCCTCTTTCCACCCCACATGCCCCAATTTCACACTCCGGCTTGCTCCGACAGGAAGCCCAGCCATTCATCGAGCGCTAGGAGAGGATGCGGGATTGCTTTCACAAGCTGCTGGACACACTGAGGACGTCAGAGTTACATGTGGGCACATTTTATTCTCTGGATGCACTTGTGCATTGTTTCTGCTCAACAGCCAAAGCTTTATTGATTCAAAACCACTACCCTTCTCCCCCACCCCCAGCACGCTTTATTTTTTTTTTACTATGCACCCTCTTCCCCACCCCTCAACCACTCTTCTGCTTCCACTTTGAGTATTATCTCTGCTTGGAGTCTGTTTTCTCAGAATAAGCCAACTGACATTTCATTCAAAATTTTTTTTCTCCCAAGAACCATATAAATTACATGCAAAACATTGTACATAGAGATTAATATCAAAATGCAATACAGATCAGGTGCACTTTAAGCTGGACTCTAGGATATGGCAAACACACTGGGGTACATATTGCTTTGAAACCACCATTTTTTTTTAATGTCATGCATACCACATAATATTCAGTCTTTTGTTTTGTATTTTTCTGTTTTTATACAAAAATACCAGTGCTTATTATACTTAGTTACTGGAAAAGAAAAACTCAGATCTGCGTGCCCTCTTCAAAAGAAAGTTTTGTTGTGAGAGCATTGGATAAATATATATACACACATAAATGTTGATTTAATACTGTATATATATATATTTATTTAAGGGGAGGAAATAAACTAAAGGCAGTTTTAGCCATGGGCTTTGCTGAATGAATTTTTTGTTGAGCAGGAGGATGTCAGAGGCAGGGCAGCCAGTCTTGGTGACAGGGGAGAGCCTGGGTAGGGAGATGCTGAAGAGTAACAGCCAGGTGCCAAGAAACAGGCTGGTGTTGCCCCACAGCCTTGCTGTTTGGGGCAGGACCATGAGTGGTACCCCCATGTCGCTGTGCCCCACTGGGGAGAGCAGATTATGGGTTGCCTGCTCCATGGGTTGATAAACTTGTAGGAGCTGGACAGAATAGTGAGGAGCGATAGCAGGCAGGTACATGTGTCCTTCGCCTGAGAGGTACAAAAGCTTGCAGGGACTCTTCTTTGAGGTGCTTGATCCCTGCAGTCATGGAGGGCAACAGGAGTTGGCAATGGTATCTTGGAGATGCCCTCCCTGGATCTGGGATGGGGCTTTTCCATTCACCCCAACACCGTGTCACCCCAAGAAGCACTGCTAAAGGGGCTGAGCACTATACAACATCTACTTCTCGGCTGGGGAAAGCCAAAGGCTGCCCATGCTAAAATTTGGTTTAGTTTTTTTCCTTCTTGAGATTGTTTCAAATTTTTCCTCAAAGCTTATTGCACAAAACCTTTGAAAATTAAGTATAATCCCTGTGCAAATCAAAGGAAACCTTATCACATAATGCAAATGCCTAAAAATGCCTGTTCAGCAATGCACACAGGACGTGTTGTAATGTCTTTGGTACCAATCCGCCAATTTATTTAACAGAAAACCACCACCACCACCACCAGAGACCCTACTGTTATTAAGAACTGGATGCAAAATTATGTTCAGAGTGTTTTAATAACAAAGCATTCCAAGGCAAGTTAACACGTATCACAGGGTATGACTTCGGTTCCTGTCTGGCATGGCACTCTCCCCCGTGCACACTCGTGGCAGTTCAAACAAAGCAAAAAAAAAAATATATATATATATATCTCCCCCTCTTTCAAGGCATGTTGCAGAGAGTCCCCAGAAGTTCGTGCTGTCGACCATGCCTTTCAGTGTAGAGCACCAATCTCCCCCAACTCCTTTGTAAAGTCCTCAATAACTTAACCCAATAGTCATCTGCTGCCAGTATATCACAGAAACTAAATAGAAAAAAAAAAAAAATTACTTTACAGAACAGATGTATGCACAATAAACGTTTATACTTTAAGCAACCAGCCATACCAACATAATTTATATAAAAAAACATTTGTGTCATCCAACTAACGTCTAGTATAAAGATGGCTGCTCAGAGAAAAGGAAGCTGACTGGCATCCGATTGCTGATACACTGAATTAATTACCTGTCACTTTGAACTGCCGTCACGCAGTCACACGCCGTTGCAGACGCGGGACTCGATTTATTTTTTTTTTTTCTTTAAACAAAATACATATGGCTGACGTAAAAATATCAGTTTCTGATCTAAAGAAAACTATATTTTTTGCATAATATTTATATATAATTATTTCTCCCCCTCCTAATATGGAAACTAGAACAACAAAAATATATCAACTAAAGAACAACCAGACCCTTGTGGCAACCTTCCAGTCACAGATTTCTGGGAGTGACTTAGAGCCTCCAAAGTTGGCTTTTTGTTGGTTTAAGTCTTTTTTTTTTTTTTTTTTAAACAGGTCTGAGGTATTAAAAAAATATCAAAAGAAAAAAAAAATATCGGTGTATCCCCCCCCAAGTATTTAATAAATATGTAAGCTTGTAAGAACACCATATTTTCATCCCTTTTTTTTTCTTTTTGCGAGTATTTAAAATAGAAAAAGTGATCTTTTAAGCAATGTCACCTTTAGTACAGAACCAAACCCCACAACCACCCCTTTTGTCTTTCCTGTCACCACTTACGTATAACCTAAGAAAATACCCCCCCCACCCCCCAGTCCTGCCCAAGACATTTTTTCAGCTCGTGTGAAGAAGGAACAGGGAGGGCAGCGATGGGTTTGTCTGTGCGGGCAGGGGGCTTGACACTGAATTTGCAATTGAGATGGGCAGTGGTGGCAATTTCTTCTTGCTGTTGGCAGTGTACAGAGCCCAGCCTTCCCCCCTTTGCCAGCACCGAGGCAGGAGACGTGGGAGAAGGACTTTTCCTCAGCTACCTGGGGCAGGAATGGGGCGACCTTGGCCTTCCCTCTTCCCAGCCCAAGGAAGGGACTAGTCGGTGCTGGGCTGGAAACAAAACAAAGACACTTGGTTTGTGTTGTCGTTTAAGGAACACTTATTTCTTGGCAAAGTACTGGGCCCTCGCGTGGCAGGCGGTGCTGCAGGCAGTGCTCGGAGAAGGCACGGGAGATTCTGCTGTGCGTTCTTAAAGGAAAGGAAAAAAAAAAAAAAAAAAAATAGAAGAAACCAGCCAGCCTGCTCTCTTGCTAAAAGCTCTCTGCTTCCAGGGATGGAGGCTGGGCAAAGACAACGTTGTACAGCCAGTTACAACCAGGTTCTCTCTGCTTCCACCCAAGCCAAACAGGGCGAAGGGGAGAAGGCAGCAGAGCTTCCTCCAGCCCTGCGTGCCCCAGGGCCAATAACCAGGGGTGCACCAGCGAGAGCCCTCGAGGAAGAAACTAAGCCCAAGTAAAGCTAAGTCCTGCCTCGTGCTCAGTCCCATGGCTTCACAAGAGGGTCAGTTCGCCCAGGTCACCTGGGGCCTCTGCTCCAAAAAAACAGGACTCTCACCAAATGGTTACAAGAGACCGAGGTGAGGCAGAATGCGGGGTGAAGAGATGACCTTCAAAAAAGCAGCAAGCGAGGCAAAGCC